CCTGCTTTAGGGCATAGGTCTCAAACTCAATTCCTGGAGGGCTGCAGCTACACAGTTTTGCTCCAAACCTATTCTAACACAACTGAGAAAACTAGTCAAGGTGTTCAAGACTACTCTTATGGGGTTTTTTAACAGCGCAGTCTTGATTTTATCTTGTTTTTTTACAGTATGATGATTTAATCGTCAGGGTTTTTTTTTTTTAACAGTGCAGTCTTGATTTAATCGTTGGGGTTTTTTTACATTTACATTTAGTCATTTAGCAGACGCTTTTATCCAAAGCGACTTACAAATGAGGACAAGGAAGCAATTTACACAACCAAGAGCAACAATGAATAAGTGCTGTAGGCAAGTTTCAGGTCTGTAAAGTCTAAGAAGGGAAGTATTAGTAGTATTAGTATTTTTATTTATTTATTTATTTTTTTTGGGTACAGTTAGTGTGATATTCAGAGAGGCAATTACAGATTAGGAAGTGTAGTGGAGACTAAATAGTTGAGTTTTTAGTCGTTTCTTGAAAGTAGCGAGTGACTCTGCTGTTCTGATGCAGTTAGGGAGTTCATTCCACCAACTGGGCAGATTGAGCGTGAGCGTTCGCGAAAGTGATTTCTTCCCCCTTTGGGATAGAACCACGAGGCGACGTTCATTCACAGAACGCAAGTTTCTGGAGGGCACATAGATCTGCAGAAGCGAGAGCAGATAAGAAGGAGCAAGGCCAGAAGTCACTTTGTAGGCAAACATCAGAGCTTTGAATTTGATGCGAGCAGCAACTGGCAGCCAGTGCAAACGGAGTAGCAGCGGAGTGACATGTGCTCGTTTAGGTTCATTGAAGACCACTCGTGCTGCTGCATTCTGGAGCAGTTTTTACTGTGCAGTCTTGATTTTCTCTTGTTTTTTTACAGTACTATGATGATTTAATCGTCAGGGGTTTTTTAGCAGTGCAGTTTTGATTTAATCTTTAGGGTTTTTATGGCGCTGCTGATTTGATGTTTGTTTTATAAGCAGTACTGTTGATTTTGCTGTTTAGTTTGTATGTTTAAATCACTACTGTATTTGTGTTGATTTTGTAGTTTGTTTTTATTCTACTGTGCTGATTTTGTGGTTCAGTTTTTAACAGTAATCATGTTGATTTTTATAGCTTTAACAGTACTTGTTTATTTTATAGATATAAAATCAACAAATAAAATGATAAATAATATAAAATAGTGTCTGCACGGCGGCTCAGTGCTTTGCGCTATCGCCTCACAGCAAGAAGGTCGCTGATTCAACTCCCAGCAGGGTCAGTTGGCATTTCTGTGTGGAGTTTGCATGTTCTCCTCGTGTTGTTATGGGTGCTCAGGTTTCCTCCACTGTCCAAAAACATGCGCTATAGGTCAATTGGATATACTAAAATGGCCGTAGTGTTATGAATGTGTGTGTTAATAAGTGTATGGGTGTTTCCCGGTACTGGGTTGCAGCTGGAAGGCATACGCTGTGTTAAATAATACTGGAATAGTTGGTGGTTCATTCCGCTGTGGCGATCCGTGATAAATAAAGGGACTAAGCCGAAAGAAAAATGAATGGATGAATGAAACTTTACTGCGCTGATGTTATGGTTCAGTTTTTAACAGTATTTGTTTATTATGGTTATTTTTTTTTCAGTAATTGTTTGTTTTAGTTATTTTTTTACTCTACTCTGCTGATTTTATATTTTAGTTTAAGATTTTCTTGTTCAATGTTAACTGTTACTTGATTTTTATAGTTCCGTTTTATACATTTAACATTTGGTTTTGATTCTGTTTAACCGTAACTCTTATAATTAACACTTCTGTGCTGAGTTTATAGGTCAATTTTAATTATAACTGGATTTTGTAGTTCAGTTTCATACAATAACATTAGATTTTTATTTTTTAGGTTTAACAGTAACTGATTTTATAAGTCAGATTTTAGCTGTACTGTGCTGATTTTGTACTTCAGTTTTCATCAGTAACTTAGTTGATTTTATATAGTTCAATTTCTCACAGCGTTTGGGTTGTTTTTATAGCTACATTTTTAACAATTCGTTGTGGTTTTTATAGTTCAGCAATACTAAACAAATTATTTAATGCTTTTTATTGTACAGATCCAAGATGATGGTGCAACTCTAGAATATAATCCTTATGCTTGGAACAAGGTATGGGTTTACTCTGTTTTTCTTTATTAATATAAGTACTTCAGCATTATCAAATCCATTACTGTCCTGCGAAATGAGGAAGTAAAAGGGCCAGCTTTGCATTTTCAGTTACTGGTTTATTACGCTTCCTTAAACCAGTCACATGATGTTATCCTCTTGTTTTATTGTTCTAAATATGGACTGTTTTTCCAGATTGCAAATGTTTTATACCTGGAGTCACCAGCAGGTGTCGGCTTCTCCTACTCTGATGACAAGCAGTACACAACCAATGACACTGAGGTGTGTGATAGGGTTTCAAATCTGCATGCATGTACATTTTACATATAGATCATTTTAATATACATTATTTGACTAATATAGTTATGATTAATATACAACTGCTGTGTTGTTCACATTTGAAATATATTTTATTTTGATCTGTTTACATTTATTTATTATTATTGCTATTATTTCAACTCCTGCACGTGTATAATAATAATAATAATAATAATAATAATAATAATAATAATAATAATGTTGTTAT